AGCCTGAAGATAATAATGAAAAAAATAGCATATAGGATAAAAATTAAAGATTTTAATTTATTTTCTTCGATATTTTTGGAAAACCGTCTTAGGAACTAATAGCATTTGAGTTTTCTGTAGATTTGAATTGCACATGATGACCAAGAATCATGAATTTTCTTACGCTCATATTTTCGTTCTTGCACTGTCCATATCTTAGCCCGATAACGAAGAATTGCAAAGAACGACGATTTGTAATCAAATAAATTTTTATTTGCCCAAAAATTTATTTTGACTCATTTTTTCTCGGATATTCAAAATTTTTTTCTTGATCACTGCCAAATAGAAAAAAAATAGAAAATTGAATTTATCAGCTTGGAGAAAATACATAATAAATTTGCATGAAAAGGACAAAAAAAAGGATTTTTGTTTATTTTCTTCTATAATTTTAGAAAACGTGTCATAGGGTCTACTAGCATCAGTTGAAAAATGACGGTTAATTTTTTTAAAAATAATTTTCAATATTATTGCCGTATCGTTTAAAGACGGTGTTGTGTTGTAAAAATAATTCTGATTCGATATACTTACGATCGGTGTTCAAGACGTCGTGTCGAAATGTAATGTTAAAGCGAAAGGTGCCCAACCGGGCGAGAGTCGCGATCGTGAATGCCGGCTGGAAAGCGACTCGCCTTTGGAAGGGCATGCGCTCCGCCCTTCGCCCTAACTCACGGCCCCTCTTCTCTTCCGCTATCCGATTAATTGTTTTGGTGCACTGCTAAATCTGCCCTTCGCTCAGACGCATAATTGCCCATTGAGTGCTAATAATTTCAATCATAAGATCAACCCCTCCCTCCCACAAAAAAAGTAACAGAAAAATCGTGGCAACAGAATTGTAGGAATTGTATACCAATGCCAATTGAACCTTTTCATCCAAAATATTGTAATCAGTGCCGAGTAGGACGCCAAAAAATGGAACAAATNCTTAATTAATTGAAAGGTATTAATTGGTCAAGCGGACAACGAAAACTAGCGAATTGAAGTATATCTTCACTAAAGTTCTCCGTGGCCATTTCATTTGTCGACGAGAATCAAATAGATTACACGACATTTGTAAAATCGCAAAAAGGAGGGAAAATTCGAAAGGTGGGTTGAGATGGGAAGTTAAGTGTCCGAGAGGATCGACGTCACGATAACTCAAGTGGTAGAGTAGCAGCGTATCTAGCCAAAGGTCGTGGGTTTGAATCCCGTTCGTGACACTGACTTTTTTATCTCAACTAAAAACCTTAACTAATTGAAATTTATATTTAATTTTATAATAGTAAGGACCTGCAAAATTACATATGACCAAGTTAGATTTTCGACAAATTTATTTTTACATTTGATTTGGTTTCGTGGTCCGCTTGACCAAATAAATTCTTTTCAATTAATTAAGGTTTCAGTTGAGATAAAAGAGTCAGGGTCACAAGCGGTATTCGAACCAACGACCTTCTGTTAAATACGCCGCTGCTCTACCACTTGAGCTATCGTCATAATTGACCTTGATTATGGGATTATGTCTCTGCCAATGATAATGTTATAAAAATATTTTATTAGGTTTCGTGGTCCGCTTGACCAAATAAATTCTTTTTAACTAATTAAGGTTTTGGTTGGGATAAAAAAGTCAGTGTCATAAGCGGGATTCGAACTCACGACCTTCGGCTAAATACGCCACTGCTTGCCATCTCAACCCCACCTTTTGAATTTTCCCTCTTTTTTGCCATTTTTCAAATGTCGTGTAATTAATTTGATTCTTGGCGACAAATGAAATGGCCACGGAGAGCTTTAGTAAATATATACTTCATTTTGCTTATCACATTTTATCGGATTTTGTGGTCCGGTTGACCAAATAAATTCTTTTAAATTAATTAAGGTTTTGGTGGAGATGAAAAAGTCAGTGTCACCAGCGGGGATCGAACCCACGACCTTCGGCTAAATACGCCGCTGCTCTACCACTTGAGCTATCGTGACCACTTGGACACCAACTCCCATCTCAACCCCACCGTTTCGCTTGTGACACTGACTTTTTTATCTCAACCGAAATCTTAATTAATTGAAAAGTTATAAAAATAATAGATCCAGTGCGTAAAACAGGTTTATACTTTTAAGTTTGAAACTTTCCGCTTGAGAAGTATCGACCATTCATTGTTCTAAAACTATGAGACCTTTCTCAATTTGTCACTCATTTCTGATGATAAGTGCGCAATAAAAATACAAAGTACAATTCTCACTTTTTGTTCGAAAATGGTTCTACACGCAAATCTGTTGTTTTCAACATCCGGATTTCCAGTATTAAAGCTCATCATCAAGTTTAAGGAGTTACAACACGTTTCTCAGCATGATTTGTTACATTGAAACTGCCGATCCACCGCCAACGCTACGTTCCCATGAGAACACGGTTTTTAATGCCGATCAATTTTGAATGTTCGGAAAACATGAATTACAACACAACTAAATTTTATCCTAATAAATACTGTAAGAAAATAAATTTTTTAAATTATATTTATATTTGTTTAAAATAGGTGGTAAATCAAAATCTACTGTATTATTTATGCATTTATCTCCATGTTTAATTGTACTTTTTTTTTAAATTTCTCAAACCAATTTAGTTCCTTCCTTTTGTTGAGACTGTGTGTGTGTACAATGTGTAATAATATTGTATTTGAATTGGTTTTGTGTTCATTTAGATAGCCCTTAAATTCAGAAATGTTCGATTTAGACAAGTTTTCTTTAATTCTCTTTTCAGTTCCTTTGCCGCTTTGTTCTATATTTTTAATAGCCCAATAATTACAATTAAGTTTGTAAACCCCGCTTTTGACAGGTTGTCAATTTTGACTTTAGGTTTGGGGAGGATATTTCTAAGAGAACATCCACTTCTAAAAGCTACTGTAAAATCTTTCCTTTTCAGTATTTGACCTACTTTTTCTGATAGTTACTCAATATATGGCAATCATCAAAAACCTAACGATTCGTTTTCGGTGAAGTGGCCGAACCCAATTGTTGCTTCTTTTAAAGTTAATTTTTTTTCTGCTTTTACTAGCAACCTAAATCTTTCTCGATATCCATTATTGTTAGCCAATGTTTGTATTGTTTTTAATTATTTTTTATAATTAGCAGGTGTTTTATGGTTGTTTCAACGTATGGTTTATGGGCTAAATGAATCCAGCAGCTTTTTGGGTTCATGGTTGAGAAGTATCTGCTGTTATCATAATGTCTACAGTTGTGACTTTCTATTTAAGTCTATTTCAATTATGTTACTTATTATGGGCATTTTTAAATCTAAAAAGTTTAAACGACCATTTTTATTTATTGTCAATGTAAACTTATATAAGGGTCTAATGACTTAAATTGGAGTAATTCTTTTAGATCTGATAGTGTTCCCGACAATATCCATAAAATATCGTCTACCTTGCGTTTCCAAAAAAGGACAGATTTAATTAATTTATTATTTGATTTGAAAAGATTTTTTTCAAAAGTATCCATGAACATTTCGGCTCAAAGTGGGGATAATGGAGACCCCCATTGATAACCATTTCATTTCATAAAATATACTATTAAATTTAAAATAATTAGATAGTAGTGATATATTTAAGAGGTCTATTATATCATTTTTTTCATTAGGCTTTCGTAGCTTTCCATAGTTTGGGAAACTATCAGAAAAAGTAGGAAAATTCTTAAACGAGAAGGATTTAGAGTAGCTTTTAGAATTGCGTGTTCACTTAGAAACATCCTCTTAAAACATAAAAACAATGTTCACAACTTGTCAAAAAGTGGGCTTTACAAAATTAATTGTCATGATTGCTACATTCAATATATGGGACAAAGCGGCAGAGAATTAAAACAGAGTTAAAGAACACTTCCCTAAATTGAAGAAATTTTCTGAATTTAAAGACCATCAAAATGAAACAAAACACAATTTAAATTTAAATTTAAATACAACAGTGTTACACAGTTTCAACAAAGGAGACGAAAGTAGATTGGTTTCAGAAATTTAAGATAAAAAGATGTAAAATGGAGATAAATGCGTAAATAATATAAAAGAATTTGATTTACCTCCTATTTTAAACATTTATTTCAATAATATTTGGCATACAAATTAATCACTAATTTATATTTATTTTCTTATAGTATTTATTAGGATGATATTTAGTTATAATTCTTGATTTTTGTACGTTTAAAATTGAGTTCAGCTTCAACAACCTGTGAGTGGGAATCTTTTAAAGAAGTTATTGATTCCAATACTTAATATTTTGGTACAACACATTCCTCGTAAGATATTTACACATCTAAAGCAAATGGTAAAAAAAAAACTTCAATTAGACTATCAAAAAAGTTTTATTAACATATTATAAATAGAATACAAAAGAATGGCCAGGCGACTTAACGTAAATTTAATAAATCCTCTACATATCAAAAGAATGATCGTAGATTATTCTTAAGATGTGAGATTTCAATTTAAAATGTGGCTATCCACCAGTTACTTTTTAAATAGACATCTTAAAAATTAAAGATATTTTATGTATCTTAACTGGCGGACGGGCACAAACAAGCACAAGATCAAGAGTGTCAACTCGACTCGGGGTCATTTTCTTTCTTAACTTTCCTCACTCGGATTCTTTTTATTTTAGAGCCGAATTCGTTATTTAGAGCGTCTATGGCAAATTTGACGTCTCCTCTGCCTCTCCGCGTGAAGTACATCGGCGGAGAAGATGAAGGCGCGCACTGCGAACACGGATAGGGTACAGCGACGGCCGAGGGAAACATCGGCTTGACGTCTTCTTCGGAAGTGGAGTTACCGGGACAATAGGGGAAGAAAACTACGGGGACGTATCCGAGGACAGCATTTTGAGGAAAGTTAGGAGGGAGTTGAGTAGGCGAGGTTGTCATGGATGTTCCTACGTTCGATTCCGTTCCGTTGGGTGAAACCAAGTAGCAAGGACATGAACCAGGGCTGGGTACAATTGGAACTGGATAAGCGACGACAGTTACGGTAGGATTAGAGGGATAGCCGGGGTAAGGATATCCGGGTTGAGTCGGATGTCCAGGCTGGGGAGAGCCGGGTTGAACAGGATGTCCCGGCTGCGGGTATCCAGGTTGTCCAGGGTGTCCGGGTTGGCCTGTTTGACCAGGTTGAGCTGGGTGTCCGGGCTGGCCAGGTTGATCCGGGATGGCCGGGTTGGCCAGGGTATCCAGGTTGTCCAGGGTGTCCGGGTTGGCCAGGGTATCCAGGTTGTCCAGGGTGTCCGGGTTGGCCTGTTTGACCAGGTTGAGCCCGGGCTGGCCAGGCTGTCCTGGGTATCCAGGTTGTCCAGGATGTCCGGTTTGGCCAGGTTGTCCAGGATGTCCGGGTTGGCCAGGGTATCCAGGTTGGCCAGGATGTCCGGTTTGGCCAGGTTGACCAGGATGTCCAGGTTGGCCAGGGTACCCAGGTTGTCCGGGGTGTCCGGGTTGGCCTGTTTGACCAGGTTGAGCTGGGTGTCCGGGCTGGCCAGGCTGTCCTGGGTATCCAGGTTGTCCGGGGTGTCCGGTTTGGCCAGGTTGACCAGGCTGTCCTGGTTGGCCAGGGTATCCAGGTTGTCCAGGATGCCCGGTTTGACCAGGCTGTCCTGGTCTGTTAGGGTATCCAGTTTGTCCAGGCTGTCCTGGTTTGCCAGGGTATCCAGGCTGTCCGGGGTGTCCGGTTTGGCCAGGTTGACCAGGCTGTCCTGGTTGGCCAGGGTATCCAGGTTGTCCAGGGTGGCCGGGCTGGCTAGGTTTGCTAGGATATCCAGGTTGAGATGGGTGTCCGGTTTGACCAGGTTGTCCAGGATGCCCGGTTTGACCAGGCTGTCCTGGTCTGTTAGGGTATCCAGTTTGTCCAGGCTGTCCGGGTTGACCGGGTTGTCCAGGATATGCAGGTTGTCCGGGGTGTCCCGGTTGTGTTGGATGACCGGGTTGTCCAGGGTATCCAGGTTGTCCAGGGTGGCCGGGCTGGCCAGGTTTGCTAGGATATCCAGGTTGAGATGGGTGGCCGGTTTGACCAGGTTGTCCAGGATGCCCGGTTTGACCAGGCTGTCCGGGTTGGCCTGGTTGGCTTGGGTAACCAGGTTGTCCAGGCTGTGCAGGATGACCTGTTGGTCCGGGTTGTGAAGGATGTCCGGGCTGTCCGGGTTGACTAGGGTATCCAGGTCCTCCTGTCTGCTGGTTTCCAGTTGATGGATGGCCAGGCCTTTCAGGTAATTCCCATGGATGTTCAGGTTTGCCGCTAGGGTATCCGGGATGACTTCCACTCGGAGATCCGGGTTTACCTGCAACCATGTGAATGTACAATATAATACATTTTCTGTTAACTGGAGAAATGAGTGTACTTATTTAATTGGACTAGACTATGTTATATACAATGCGTCATATCAACTATGTATAATTAATCTGCAAAAGCGTATACTAATGCATTTTTCATTGTCACTGTTAAATTCAAGAATAGGACAGGACAATAACTCAATTAATTGAGGGAATATTTCTGATATTCAAAATTAATTCTTTCTGTAGCATATGTAACGTTTCATCTCACACATTTAATATAATGAAATGTAAAAGCTTATTTTTAATGGAGTGTTAATTGCCCGTGTTATTCCGCCAGGAGGAAGATCCAAAATGGTGGTTGTGTTATTGTTGAACAATCGTTATTTTTTGTTCATAAGGACGTTCGGAATAAGCAAAAGTGCATGGAATGATACTGTCCAATCAGAACTATCATGGATGGGCAGTAAACGGAACAAATTCAACGAAAATACGCTACAACACGGTGGATACATGCAAAACGTAAAGTTAAACACAGTTAAAAATTAAAATGCTTAAAGGAAGAAGTTTAAAAGGAATAATAATGTTAGTATTATAGTAAACAATTATATAGATTCAGGTCATCTAAAACAGCAACAAAAACATAACTTTAATCACCATAAAATATATTTATTATTACCTGGTTGGCTAGGATGTCCGGGTTGTCCGGTCTGTCCTGGGAATCCAGGCTGTCCAGGTTGTCCGGTTTGGCCAGGGTGTCCAGGTTGGCCAGGGTGTCCAGTTTGACCAGGCTTTCCGGGTTGACCGGGTTGTCCAGGGTATCCCGGTTGTGTGGGGTGGCCCGTTTGACCAGGCTTTCCGGGCTGACCAGGATATCCAGGTTGTACAGGGTGTCCAGGTTGACTAGGCTGTCCGGGTTGAGCAGGTTGTCCAGGGCGTCCCGGTTGTGTAGGATGACCGGGTTGTCCAGGGTATCCAGGTTGTGCTGGGTGACCCGTCTGACCAGGCTGTCCAGGTTGGCCAGGGAATCCCGGTTGTCCAGGGTGTCCAGGTTGTGCGGGGTGGCCCGTTTGACCAGGTTTTCCGGGCTGACCAGGATATCCAGGTTGTCCAGGGTGACCAGTTTGACCAGGCTGTCCAGGTTGACCAGGGAATCCCGGTTGTCCAGGTTGTGTTGGATGACCGGGTTGTCCAGGGTATCCAGGTTGTCCAGGCTGTCCAGTTTGACCAGGCTGTCCGGGTTGACCTGGTTGTCCGGGGAATCCAGGCTGTCCCGGCTGTCCAGGATGACCAGTTGATCCAGGCTGTCCGGGTTGACCGGGTTGTCCAGGGTATCCAGGTTGCCCTGGGTGTCCGGGTTGTGTTGGATGACCGGGTTGGCCAGGGTATCCAGGTTGTGCGGGGTGGCCCGTTTGACCAGGCTTTCCGGGCTGACCAGGATATCCAGGTTGTCCAGGGTGACCAGTTTGACCAGGCTGTCCAGGTTGACCGGGTTGTCCAGGGAATCCCGGTTGTCCAGGTTGCCCAGGTTGCCCAGGTTGACCAGTCTGTCCGGGGTGTCCGGAACCGCCTAAAATTAGATTTTGGATATGTTAATTTGTTGTTATATATAAATACAAAGAACATAAACAACATTTGTCACTTTTGCCTTGTTAAATAATATACTTTTTGCAATAGTTTTTCTGTCGTGTCTGTAGTAATCTTTTTTCTTTATTTATATTTACATTTTTTGTTTAACTTTGTGATCCGTTTTTATTCCAATTATTTCTAACATAAATGTCAAAAGATAGAAATCTATTGTTTTTTCCGACTGATTTTTTTGTTTGTTATGCATTTAGTTTTATTTTCAGCTCAGAAAAACCTGCTTTCATATTCTCTTCTCTGATAAGATCATGTCGGCGATGTGAAGCAATGACCTTTGTAATACTCCGCTACTTATTACTGTCGGATTATCGTCCTCAAATCGTTAGTGAGTTGGTTTATACTTTAACTTTTCACTAATATTATATATATATATATATATATATATATATATATATATATATATATATATATTGGCTTTATGATAGTCGCCTATGTGAAGTCTGGGTTTGGTTTGTGGCCAATTACCTTAGTTTTATAATCAATAGATTGATTAAGAGGGTCTTTAAAAACAAAGTTCACAGCTTTTGGCTACCCCACTAAGCAAGACATTGTTGCCTAATCTTCTTCTTCTTCTGTCAAAACTAAAAATCTTCTTCGCGCAATTAGTTGTATGTTTTTTCGGCAGGTAATTTATTTTCATAAAAACTTATAAAAATCTATTTTTGTATACGTAAACGTATTAAAAGAACATTGATGTGAAATCATAATTAATTAAATAATATTTTATATCGTTTTCGTCGTTCCAAAGCGGAAATGTAGATAGAAATTAGAATTGTAGTGGTGAAAATTATGACACGTAAAAAATCCGTTACAAAGACCAGTAAATGTTATTCGCATTTTCAACTGAGATATCAAAATGATTGTGTAATTATATTAGTTTCTATTACCGGGATTTTCTGACTGCCCGGGTTGCCCGGGCTGTTCAGAAAACCCACAACCTCCTTGAATATGTTTAAATAGTTTATTCTCACAAAATCTCATTCTAAATTCAATTCACCTGCAACTAGCTGACTATGTTAATTTAAGTTCAGTTTTTATTAAACAATTGAACAACTTTATTGAACTTATCTTACCAGGTTTTCCTGGTTGACCCGTCTGTCCAGGGTATCCGGGTTTGCCAGGTTGTCCGGGTTGAGTCGGTTGACCAGGGTATCCAGGCTGACCCGGTTGCCCTGGGTATCCTGGTTTACCAGGTTGTCCAGGATGTCCAGTTGATCCAGGCTGTCCGGGCTGTCCAGGTTGTCCGGGATGACCAGTTGATCCGGGATGGCCGGGTTGGCCTTGCTGTCCAGGNGGCTGTCCAGGTTGGCCGGGCTGTCCTGGTTTACCGGGTCTCCCGGGTTGTCCAGGCTGTCCCGGGTATCCAGGCTGTCCAGGCTGACCAGAGGGTCCTGGTTGCCCTGGCTGACCAGGATATCCAGGTTGTCCGGGCTGTCCAGGGTATCCAGGCTGTCCAGGCTGACCAGAGGGTCCTGGTTGGCCTGGCTGACCAGGGTATCCAGGTTGAACAGAACCTAAGTCATAATTCACCATTGACATATTCCGGCAATTTGTGTAATAACTTTCCTATATATCTATTAATGTATTCATGTATCTTACCAGGCTTATCACCTCCCTGCTGTCCTGGCTTGGATGCGCCTCCTCCGCATCCTTTGGGGAAGTATAACTCTCCCCAAGGGGTCACTTTGCCATGATGGTGATGGTGGTGTTCTTCTCCTTCGCCGTGGTTTTCGACGTTGTTTTCATCTTCAGGGTTGTGCGGCTCCAAAAACAACTCAACGTCCTCTCCCGGAGTGACTACACGATATCCCCATCCGTCAGAGACGTAATGTGTCGCACGTGGCATACCATTCGGGTCAACGTATCCGTAACATCCGTAAACTACTCCGTCCGGTCCTCGATTTTCATGATGAAATTGTCCGTCAGGTCCAACTTCGTATCCAAACACGTATGAATCTAAATAAAAAAAAAAAATTAATTAATTGTCAAATTTACTTATATATTGAATACTTACTCGTATTGAAATTTTGTTCATGGTACTGGGTTTTGTTTGCATCTTCGATGTCTACAACTACTTCTTTATCGCCATGAGTTACTCTTAAGCTATTCTCGTTATCAAGCTCCTGTCCTAAAGCTATCACGACCAACGTCTGTAAAATAGAAGACAAATCACAATTAAAAGTTTGTAAAGGATGTAATGTAAAATGCTTATCTTATGAGCCCGGAATTACAAAAAACAGAAACGCCGCTAAACCCGTCAAGCCGTTAGGTTGTGCGGGTCTTTTAAGTCGGACTATTTTTACTCACAACATAACCAGCTATGTTCTACTTTGAGACCAGGAATTAATTTGTTCCACATATTATTATTGCTTTTGTTTAATATTAGATTATTTTTGCAATCGAAGACAGAAGTAAAGTTAATTAGTTTTAATAGATTTTTAGTTAAATAGTTGAGTTCGTAAAACTGTTGAAATAAAAATATGTTTAAACAGAAAGGAAGAAATATAATTCAAGGAATGTTCCTTTTTCAAACACAGAGTTAAACTTTCATTTAATTCATATTACTATTTTAATTGCACGCTGTCTGATTGAGGGGCGGTAATTTAATGTGCAAAATGATCAATTTAATTTGAAAAAGAGTGACATTTAAATTGCAAAAGGGTAATTTTTTAATGTACAATTTATAGAACTACTACTGTAACTCTGACACATCTGAGACATTTTTTGATATTAGTAATTTCTATAGGTGTTTTTTAGGCAACGGTATTTTAATTTCACATTCACTTAAGGTTTTGTTTGGTGTTCCTATTCGCGAATTAATCCCACCGTTGCCGGTTTCGGGGTTAGTCGACCTTTCGCATTTTGGCAAGAGTCCGGCCCGGTGTCCGTCTGACCTACACCAAGCAGATCAGTGTCGTTCGTCAAATAACCGGTGCTAGCGGAGATCCCGATTTGCATTCATGCCGTAACCTTCCACGACACGGTTCCACAACTTGACCAAACGGTCTAATTACGCTGATACATGATCGGAAACGTGCTTCGACTGGCTGATTTAGCCGGGAAGCTTTTAACAATTGGACCGTCCTCGGTGGATTTTGGCAACGGCATCAGGAACCTGGAAGTCCCAGTCAACAAACAAAACCTATACCTTCCCTGTTGTCTTCAGCTAGCCTTTTGTCATACATAAACACACCTAAAAACTTCTTTTTTAGCGAAAAAGTGTTAAGGTGTGATTAGCACATCTTCAATTTCACTCGAATTTTAATCTTTCACTCTACGGATTACCACGGTAAAATACCGTTATTTATCCGTGATTGCCTTAGCTGTGAAATAGTAGAATCGGCTCTCAAAAAAGCTCTAATGCTGTCATATATTGCCCAACATCGGATTTTACGAGCCGTCAGGAAATAAGCTGTACGTGAGGCTAATTTCGATGACTCATCATGTAATTTACTCACTTAAAATTGCGTAGATCCAAGATTATATTGAAAAATGAATATTCGTTTACTTCGGCCGGTTGTATGTGTTACGTATGTATAAATGGTTATTATACATAAATAAAATTGTGGTTTGCAGGTGATGAACAAACGTCAGTACTTCAGGAAGTTATCCTCCATGTCGAATTGGTCTGAAAAATCTTCATTTTCCCAAGTCTAAATCTCAATTATAATCGACATATTTCACTTTTGTGTTACTTCAACCTTACTGCTATTTATACTTATTCCGAAATCATGAGATGCGGTCTGGTGTGATGTAGGTTTCAGAAAAACATTTTCTTTATCCTGCCTACGTTTCGGTCTTTATTGAGATCGTCTTCAGGGCCTGGAATTTACAAACATTGTTTAAATTTAACAAATACATGAAGGATGTGGAAAAAGTGAATTTATACAATGCAAAAAAAATATTTTTTATATTCAATTAAACTATTTCTTCTCACTCAAAGTGTTTGAAAGGTGTCACGCAGAAAACAAACACTTTGAGTGAGTAGAAATACCTTGATTGAATAAAAAAAATTTTATTTGCGTTGTTCATTCAATTTTTTTCCACATCCTACGTGTATTTGTTAATTTTAAACAATGTTTGTACATCCCAGGCCCTGAAGATGATCTCAATAATGATCGAAACGTTGGCACGATAAAGAAAATGTTTTTCTGAAACCTACATCTCATACGTGCATCTCACGATTCCTGAATAATCATCGACAAACGGTCACTAATCACCACACTATTTATACTATAAAGTCTCCCATAACTGATAAAATTTTAAAATTGCGGTAATTTTGATTACACCAAAATAAAGAGCACTGAAAAACCAATGAGTGTGATCAATGTTTATTCATTTATTTTACGGTTTCTCCAATTACAAATATAATATAGAAATAAATTTAGGAACATTTATAATCAAAAATCAAAAACCAATTTAAAATTATTTGAAATAATTTGAAATACGTATTAAAACTATGTATTTATCCTAATTATACAATATTTAATTTTCAAATGTTAATTATTAATTTGCCTAATTTTAATTAAATTGGCATTAGATATATCTACATTTTGGAAAGTGAATGACATATTTGCTGTTTAGGAATTAAAATTGGGCACCCTCAACACGACACGATACGCAAGATGGCACAATTAGACAGAAAACAAACACTTTGAGCCCTGAAGATGATCTCAATAAAGATCGAAACGTTGGCACGATAAAGAAAATGTTTTTCTGACACCTACATCACACCAGACCACATCTCACGATTTCTGAATATTCAATAAAATTGAATTTTACATAATTAACACTATGATAATCAATGTAGGTCATTATTTGACTTCTGGAATGGTAAGATGGAACATGAAAATTAATTCGGTTAAGCAGTGAAGGGCAATTATTTAAGTAATATAATCTACATAATGACATGCAATCAAAGAATTTCCTCCTGTATAGAACAGTCGTCACTTTTAGATCCGACAACGAGAGTATGGTTTATCTCTATATCCTCCGACTATAATGCATCAGACGTAAAATTTTGCTTTTTTAAAGTGCTTCTATGCAACTGATATGGTTGGATTGAAAGGATGCCCAAAGAGGTGAACAGAAATTTAATATCGGTCTTATAGTGGAAGTGTATAAAATTTTTCAAGCGTACCTGAATCATTTTAACGTTTAGTATGACATGCAATAAATCGTAAAGTTTTATTTGCCTTAGCGATAGTTTTATTAAAGTGATTATGAAAGTTTATCTGACTGGCAATAATGATGCCACGTTCTTTAATATTTCACGTCTGATTACGAGCCATTTTGATATAACGTAGGTAAATTTAATTTTATGGAAATTCATAGTTGAACATTTGTCAGAATTTAAAAGAATTTTATTAGTTGAACACTAATTATTAAATTTTACTAAGGCATTGGTGTTGTAAACACTCAGAAACAGAATTAATTTTTAAGACTATTTTTAAATAATCTGTCAAAAGTAGGGGTTGTGTAGTAGCGTTTGGCAACTTTGAAAACAAATGTTTCAAAGAATGTATTACTCAAGTCCACCTTCTTGAAGAATGCGATCCTGAAAGGGTTTATTTTCAGATTTTTTTCTTTTTAATTACTTGTTATTTTTATGATTTATTTCCTTTTAATATGTTTTATGTATATTTAATTTCGTATAAACATGAAATTTGATATAAAAAGGCCAATGTCAAGGATAGATTTGTTTTTAGTTTTCAATCACGTTCTTGAGTGTTTTTGTTTTTTTGTTATGTTCAATTTTTTACCAAAGTGTCATTTTTATTTATTTTCTATTTCTTTCTTTAGATTTAATCAAAATTTCAAAACCTTAATGAATATTTTTTTAAAACAATTGTAATTAAAAAATCAGATTTTTGGTTATTCTTCACTTGCAATAGCCTATTGAAATTAACACCATTGAGAAATTAAGTACAAGGTATAAATTTAAGTTCATTAGCAGGAAAACTTTTTAGTAAGCGCCATAACTGTCTAAACTTACCAAACCAAGAAAGCCTAACTTAAACTTTAGACAAGAACTCTCGAAAGTCGTAAAAGTTTATTTTCTAACTGAAAAAAAGAGGAATCTCATGGGGTTTTTAATTCTCTTTTCGTTGGTGTAATCAAATTTACAGTAGTACTTGATGAGATTCGACGCAATTTATTGAATGAAGTTATAAAACGCTAAAGTAACCTGAAAATAGAAATATCGCGAAATCAATTGAGAATCATACTTTGCACAGTATGGACTTTTCAGTCCACAATGACATGTAGGCTATCGTTCTAAAATATTGACGTCTGTTCGCGGAACACTGTAATAAAATGATTAATACAGTTAGTCCTTGTGTAAAATAACTAAATAAAAACACCATCAACGATCTTAACGATCGGCCATGATCTCTTTAACGTCTGCATCAGACCGAAGTCACCGGGGCCGGCGAGAGTCCACCAGTTGTGACTGGGATGGTACTTTCACCAAGGAGTGCCTCACGGTTTTTGTTGCATAATTCCGTGTCGGAACGTGGGTCAAGGTTGCCGTCCGCCTTCGCACAAGGAAGTTCTCGTCTAATCCGTGAAAATCCTACGGCTCAGGACCCGAATAAAAATTATCACATACTTCGAAGATTACGAATTTCACACGATTGGAAAACGCTATCGGGCAATAGATCACGTGGGCTGCGTATTTTATCCGTGACGCAAATTTTTTTTCTTCAGTACCAGAGGTCTTTTATAAGGCACTAGTGCGCATTGTCGCATTAAATCATTTAAAAAAATGATTAACTGCGATCATAATGCGAACAATGCCAAATTTGATCTTTTATTAGTTTTTATTTGATATTTACAACTAAGTATATCGTAATAATTCAATATTTTCATATATGCTTGATTTGTCATTTGAGGCTCTTTTGGGAGAAGTTGCCCAGTTGCGACACTCCTTCACAACTGAAATTTCCTCAATCTTCACTCAATTATAAAGTCTCGGGGCCACTTTCGCTTCAATCGTAGTATATATTATTTCTAATATTATTTTTGATGGATTAAATCATTATTTCATCACATGACATAATTTTGAAGAATTAAACTGTAAAAATATAATGCAAACATGCTTGTTTTCTTATCAGTACTATATAAAAACCACGACTAAGGCTTATTTTTATAGCAATTTAATGTCGTTGCACAGTTACATGCCAAAAAGAATGACACAAATACTTATATTTTATTATTAATTCAGTGTGCATGTTCACAGATCAAAGAGAATAGACAAATTAAGGAAGTTAAATGGACGGACGTGACTTTATTGGCGCGCAGGTCATTACGAAAACCGAGAGAACATTTGCATAATTATTTAAAGGATAGGTGGGTTAATATTAAGTTTTCTTATCGATGATTTATGCATCGGTGTGAAGTTATCACCAGTTTAAACGGAAATTTGTGTTACGACCTGTCATTTAATATTTTTGTAACGCATCTTTTAAAAAATAGTGGGTTGATCGTTTTTAAATTTTTGGTAAATTTGTGAGTTATTAAAAACTAAAAATGAACCAATTTATTCAAATCGCGATAAATCATCGTTACAAGGAACCAACTTCCAAAAAATGGGTTTGTAAAAATAGAACATATAATCCAGTAACTTATGCTTTTTATGCGGTTGGTTTAGAAGTAAATATAACCAATGGAAAACACATAGATATCGAGAAAGGCGCAGACCAACTACTGAATAGTCTAGGCATGTCACAATAACAAAATAAAACTAACATAAGACTAACCATTATCGTGCCAACGTTTCGATCTTTATTGAGATCATCTTCAGGGCCTGGAATTTACAAACATTGTTTACATTTAACAAATACATGTCGGATGTGGAAAAAAGTGAATTTATACAATGCAAAAAAAAATATTTTTTATATTCAATCAAATTCTAGTATTCCACATCCTACATGTATTTGTTAAATGTAAACAATGTTTGTAAATCCCAGGCCCTAAAGATGATCTCAATAAAGATCGAAACGTTGGCACGATAAAGAAAATGTTTTTCTGAAACCTACATCACACCCGACCGCATCTCACGATTTCTGAATAACCATCGACAAACGGTCACTAATCACCACACATAAGACTAACTTTAAAAACATCTCTTATACTACACCTCACAACATAGTGATTATGGTTTGTATTTTCTCTAGCTTTACGACTTGTTTATTAACATTGTATTACTTGTTTATTAACATTATAACTTTTTTAACAACAAAAAGAACACCAAAATAGCTAAATATTTTCATCTCACAGAACTGAAGAAGAAATCTAACAAATCATTGGTGATTGTGTACAGTTCTGCTTCATTTACGAACAATCTGTATATTAATAATTAATAGTGTTGGCAGAACAAAATAATCGGGAAAGACCTAGTTATATGTACCTACACCTCTCAAGAAGAAATGAAAAAAAAATCAGACCTCAGGAAGATAATTTCACAATTGTTGTGTTTATTTTTTATTTTTTTTAACGAGGGTTCGCAACTGCAGAGGTTATATCAGCTCTCGGGGTGCCGGTGTTTTTGAAAAAAAGCACATTTGTAAGTATGTCGGGTTCGAATGCAGGGCCGCTCGATTCGAACCCGGCACCTTTACCTTACAGTGATGAGCGCCGTGTCAACGCCTAAACCGTTGCGGCCACCGACGCCGCCAGCAGTGTTTATTATTTAAATTTTTCTAGTTTTAAAAATAAATTTTTTGTATTGTACAAATGAATAATGATAATAATAATGTTCTATAATATACAATAGAAAGAACCCTTTTCGGACCACGAAAACTAGTGAATTTGGCATGAGTAAATATTACACCAAGTTCTTCAAATGTGGTCACAGTTTGTATTTGCAATGTGGTTCCAAAATATGATGAATTAACTTTTTTTATTACGTCTAAAAAATGACATTGCAAATCGTTTATGAAAATTAAGTTTAAGTCCATTTCGTGAGCACCAATCACTAAAATGGGAAAAAGCGATTTGAAGTCTTTTTGTGTCATTATCATATTGATTACACGGTACAGCCTGGCATTGCAAGCAAAGAGCAAGAAGTTTATATTCTGAGAGAGAAATTCAGCAACGCAATAAAGGGCCTAAATGAGAGCCCTCCAAATTTTGCGATAAATAAAGAATTATTAAATTTTATTTGAAACTGTGACATTGCAAACCACAATGTGGATCCCTGTTAACTGGTAATATCATGAAAATATTTGTGTTTTACTTTAAGAAAGTGTTGGAGATATGTGAAATTGATTTACGCCCAATATAAAAATTTATATAATTTTTCTTGATTAATTACCAATCTGTAATAAACATACGAAATATAAAACTAGTAGTGATTTGTAATAAATCTATGTGTATCAAACTCACAATTTGTCAAATAGCTTTTGAACAATTGTGCCAAATCAGCTTTTCACAACAATGTTTCAGATAGATTGAGATATTTTCCACTTGTTAGATTTTGGGATGGGCGGACATGTGATGCAATGTCTTCGTGGGCGGCGGACGACGGCGTGCGCCCTCTCGTCTGCCTAAGTGACGCCGTCGTCCTATGAAAGCATCATCGAACAATTTCATCGGTTAAATGTCAAAGGAATCAATTTGTGTTCGACCATCTTTCTAATAGCGTCCATGTGAGATGCTAGAATAATGGAATACCAGTCCGAGGAAAAATACCATAGGTCCATTCTTACGACCATCGACTCGAATTATTTCCATTTCCACTAACAAAAACGCCAAATATACATTGAAATTAAAATTTAACAATTTAATTAAGTTACCTAACGTGTTACCGGTACTTATTAGTTAGTTGGATTCAAGCGAAAGACAGCCGTATTCGGTATTTAACGGGCCATTTCCAATAAAATGACGTGGCTTGACCCAAATTGCAACTCCCTAATTAACGTTCGTCCAGAGCCCTTCGACGGTTTCTTCCTAATCGAAACCGGGTTCCCCAGGGCGACCCTAATAAAGGACCGCGTTACTGTCTAAACAGTGGTCGGGATCCTTCACCATCACCAGGTCGACTGCGGAAATTAGCTCGGTTGCCCATTAAAAATACAAACACCATAAAATATTTCCATACGGGTGTTAATTATTTTTACTCTAAATTTAACAATTAATAAAAGAATC